AACCACACCAGTCCATTTCTTAACATCCTATCTAGATTCTGAGCTCCCAGCTAAAGAGAAAGAAGGAACACAGAAAGGGAGTCTGAAATCACCCCCTCTGTATTTGACCCCTGACTCTGCTATTATCTTCCCATTCCTCAGTTTCTTCATTTGTTCTATGGAGGTAATAATAATTTCCAGCACAGGAAGTGGCTGTGTAAACAAGTTAATACACATTGTGCATTTTGTACTGCTCATTGTAGTACTCCAAGAGTTAAGAAATTTCAAGGAGACTATCTGTTCTTCATTTTACTACTGCTTAAAATATCCTTTCAAAAGACAGGCATCAGCAATGAGATATATTTATTTCCATGGACTCAGGCCTGTATTGATTCTCTAGCTTTTAATTTGTTTAGATTCTTATCTCAGTTACACTGTCTCAAAGAGCTTTTTAGCTCTTTCCTTCTTAGCAGATTAATCATGTCTCTGTGCCTGATAGAAACTTAATAAGGCTCTGATTATGTATTTATTGTATTTTCGTAGGAATTTTGTCTTAATGGCTGATGTGCTATTTTATTTATAGAAGGGAAACACTGATTTATTTTAACCAAATAATAGATTAAAATGAGACATTTTGATGAGATAAACCAAAAACTAAAATACTTAAATATCCATTTATAGGCAGTGGGTATGTAATTATGGTATAGCATACAATGGAAATATTGTACAGCCATTACAAGAATAAAACAGACATCTGTGTAACAACATTAAGAGGAAAAAAGCAAATTACAGGATATAATACCATCCTATTTTTGTGACAAAAATAGCAACAAAAAGAACTCAAGAAGAAAAATAAATACATGTTCATAGACATGGAAAAATATCTCAAATGATACTTGTGTGACTAAACCATGATTACCTTTGGAAAAGGGACTTGTTGGGTTGAGGGAGAAGTAGAAAGAACCATTTATATATTCTGTATTATTTGAATTTTTAAAGGGACTGTAGGAGAATGGTTAATAAATGTAAATAATTAATAAATGAGACCAATTAAAACTGAGAGCTAAATCAGATGCCAGACTTAGGTTTGTTTTTAAGTTAAAATTATTTTGTTTGTTTATATTTACATATAGTTTTTTAAGAGATGTAGGAAGTTAAAAATTACAAAGGTACCTAAGACTTAGGAGTTCATAGATGGTAGCACTTGCAAAACTGATGGTATGTTGCACAGTATTATCACTAACAGTAGAATATTCAGACACAATGTGTCATCTGATATAATGGTAAATGAACTACATAGCACTATGGTACCAGTCACACAAGAATTTGGCAAGACATATTTGGCAAGGAATGTTCTCACCCAAAAAGTTTCAGTAGGAAGAGGAAAGTTAATTTCCAGTTTACAAGCAATACAAATGTAACCACAAATTAATTAGACAAGAAAGGGAACATTTAGGACCAAGAAGGTAGCTCAGTGCTAGAGTGCTAGTCTAGCTTGTGTAAGGCCCTGGGTTCAATCCTGAGTACCATAAAAGTCACTTTATATCAAGCTTATATCATTTTCTACCTGTTCTATTACAGAGCCTTCTCACATCTCTGAGTTATGTTATAATTTCAGCCTTGATCAACTAGATATATTACCTTTTTTTAAAAGCATTGTTAATTGTTTATTCTTAAAGAGTTTTTTTCTAATTGGGAACTAGATGATTGTTTTCTTAAATTTTGCCCTTCTAAATAAAGTATTAATATATACGTATATTTTTATTTAGGGATTTTCCTCATTTTTGGAAATAAATAGAAATTAGTGAGTCAACTATATGCAAAGTTTTATTTAAGACGCCTTTTCCATGAACTATTAAATGTCCACAAGACCGTAAAGAGCTTACTGACTAGTCATTCAAAGCAGTCTTTGTCTCTGGAGGAAGCATTGCAACTGCAGTGTAAAGTCCTAAAAGTGTGTCAGATTCACCTTCCTTCTTGACACTAGGAAAAACAGACAAAATACGTGAAGCAGTGGTTTCAAGACACTGAACATTCTTGAGAAGGGGAGACAAATAGGATGAGCTGCATAGTGGCTCCTTTTTACTCCCTAGAGTTTCCATGTATTAATGGAAGGAGAGGGAACCTGATAGTCTTAAGTTGTGGAGATGGAACAGGAATTTGGGGAGACTGAGGCAGTAAAAGTTACTAAGGCATAGACCAGGGAGACCTGTAAAGGGTCCCCTTACTGTCCTTAGTTGAAATTGATTAACACATGTATCAGAAACTACTTGAGCCTGGCAAAGGAACCACCCAAAAGGCTGAGAAGATCTTAGGAACTCATACAGAGTCTTTAATAGTTTCTGTTGCCACCAGCCAGAATGGAAGACCTTCATAATTCCTTGGATATCATAGAGTATTCAGGAGGGCAATGCCTCTGTAGTGAGGTAAAAATAATCTTACACTAAGGGCTGCTCTGGTTCTTCCTAAAAATACTTAAAAGAAACCTTTATATATAATGTGTATATATAATGGGCATATATATATATATGCCCATTATATATACACATTATGTGATTCAGTCCCTTAAGGATAGAATAATGGGAGAGGAAGCAGAAAAAATACTTAGTGAAATAATACCTAAAGTTTTTCTAATTTAGTGAAAACTGTTTGGATCTAAAAGTCCAGCAAGCACTTTAAAAAAAAAAGAAAATTATGCAAAGGTACACCACAGTAGCTAAAGTGTAGGATCAAGGGGGAAACATTAAGAAGTCCAGAGATAAAAAGCACAAGTACAAAGAAACAAAGATAAAGATGATTACAGATTTCTTCTCTTAAAACAATGCAAGTCAGAAAACAGTAGAGTAAGGTATTAAAAGGAAGAAAAGTGGATAATCAAAACTTCACTAAGCAGCAAAAGTATCTTTCTAAAATAAAGGTGGTACAAGAGTCTAAAAGTAACTTTAAGATCCAAAGGTATCATTGCAGGAACATTGACCTGTATCTAAAATTAGAAATTCAGTGGGGTCTATTGTTTGATGATACAAAAATTTTGTTTGTTTCTTTATTTAGATAGTGTTTTGGGATGTAGCCCAGTCTGGCCTCAACCCCTTTATTCTCCTGCCACAGCCACTGAGTGCTGGGATTGCAAGCATGGACCACAATGCCAGGCTGCCTTAATCGATTGTTTTTATGGCATTTTACATTTTCTTGTTTTACCGCTTGAGTCACACCTACAGCACACTGGTGAGACACATCTGTAATCTCAGCTACTGAGGAGGCAGAGGTAGGAAGATTGAAGTTCAAAGACAGCCAGGGCAAAGTTTTCATGAGACCCTATCTCAAATACAAACTAAAAAGGAGAAAGGACTGGGGGCATAGCTAAGTGGTTTCCCATAGTTCAGTCACCAGTACTGGGGAGGGGAAAAAAACACTTAGGGGAGGAAACTTTTTAATAACTTTTTTTCATGAGTTACCAAGATAGCTAAAATGGATGACTGGGTGATTTTATTGCTGTTTTGCACATAAAGAAGCTGAGACTCACACATGGGTAATAGGACTTTCACAGGGTTTCATAGGATCTGGGAATGTAATCAGGTTCCCTGACTTCATATTCAGGACTCTCTTCTAATCTACCTGGTTTCCTTATTAATAGCTGTGCATTGTTCGAAATGTTTTCTAATTTAGAGACTGTGAGAATATGTGTGTAGTACCTTGAAAACAGTAATAGAGAGTATAGTATGTAGTTATTCTTTTGTACTTTGACATTTGAAATGAGCAAAGAAAGTGAATTGAAAATCTTGTTATAAAATTAAAAGGCCCCAAATAGAAGACAGTAATAATGAAAGAGAGTGCATTAAAGTATATTAAGAGCTTGTGTGTGAAATTGGTACAGTACTTTAACTTTAAATAAGCAAAGGTAGAGAACTGCTATGGTTGTAAGAAGTTTTTAATTAAAATTTATTTCTGATTTTTTTTAAAGTGAAAAGTTTGATTATTTTAATTGCTATATTAAATTTTAGCAGAGAGCCTTTTAATAACTTGGTTCAAATTAAAAAGGTGGTAAAAGTTAGTTGAGAAGAAACTTTTTCTCTTGTATTTATACAGTATATTAGGTGTATCAAATAGATGATAAAATACCATCTAGGCATATTTCATTGCACCCAATGTAGCAAACTGTTTTTGACTCACTAGTAGGAGCCATACAGAATGAATACTGTGCATTGTCCTTTTGGTTTCCACTAACATTTCTTCAAATAATTCTTTAGGGATGATTTTCAGGCTTTCCTATTAAAGTTTGAGAGCTGCATTTTTAGATAAGGTCTTGTAAAATTGGGATTTAAAAGTTAGAACTTGGGAGGACAGGACTTCAGTAGGGTAAGGTTGAATGTTTGCAGTTACAGGAAATGTGATCCCTGATGTCATGCTCATGAGGAAGAATGGTTCATGTTAGAAATTACAAGGAGGACTGTAAGATTGAAAGAGTAGGGCTTGAATGTGGAAGGCCTTAAAATACATGAAAGGGAAATAGAGAATGTCTTAATCCATTCTGTATTGCTATAATCTGACGCTGGGTAATATATAAAGAACAGAGATATGTTCTTGTGGCTGGAAGGTCCAGATGGCCTGGAACCAGCATCTAGCAAGGGCCACTGACAGAGAGAGAGTACCAAATTTCCTTATAACAACCTGCTCTTGTGATAACCATGACCTTCCAGAGCAGTGACTTACTGCCTTGAGGAAAGCACTAATCTCTTAAAACCTCGACACTAGACACCATTACAATGGGGATCAGACTTCTACATGAATTTTGGTGAGGACAAATCAAATTCAAACCATAGCAGATGGCAGTGAAATTAGAATTTTCTCTCAAAAGTGAATTATCTCTTATTCAGTTATAGAATGTGAATTTTTGGCATTTCATGCCAGTATTTTTTATGCTAACTTTCATTGTATTTAAATCTGAGAAAATACAGGTTAAATAACAAAGTAAAAATTTTTTGCCTGAAGAAGGAATGTGTGTTTCTCATTCTCTTTTCTAGTCTACTCCTTTACATCTAGCAGCTGGCTACAACAGAGTTCGGATAGTTCAGCTTCTTCTTCAGCATGGTGCTGACGTTCATGCAAAAGACAAAGGGTAGGTGTATTGATTGATTTCCTTTTAACGGTTCCATTTATGGATTATTATGCTTTGTTTTCATCATTTGGTACTGTGATGTTTCATGCTGTAGACAAAGAAACTCATATATCCTGTTCATTAAGAACGTTTATAAGTTTGATTTCAGACCTTATTTTCATGTACTTACTTATTATGGAGATGTCTCATAATAATTTTCTAAATCAGTTTAATTTTCTAGCATTTCTCTTATTTAAAGTTAAAATTTTCCTCATTTCTGATTTTTATGTTCAATTCTTAAATTGCCTTTCAGGAAAATAAAACAAATTGAAAATTGTGATAATCTCGTAGCACAGGAAGCTTATGCATCAGACATTAACCCAAATAGCAAGTACAATATTCTAATTTGGTGGGAGGCTTTCCCCTGATGAAATCTTGGACTCTCAACTAAGAAAATCTAGAAGATCCTTTTGAAGATTCATATGGGAGTGAAGGGAGTGGGACCCAGAAAAAAAGTTATGTCATTTATTTTATGAACAGGTGAATTTTGCAAAACTTTGTACCAGTTCCCTCTCTAGTCTCTAGGGACATTATGGACATTAGGTTTGCTGTACTATATGAAAGGCTAACATTTCTCATTTATCTCACTGTGTGATCTAAAAAAATAACTGACCCCACCCAGGTGAGGTGGATTATATTATTAATATTATATTATTATATTAAGGCACTTTCTTTCATTCTGCCCACCCCCCCTCCCCAATCTCAGGAAGCATAGACATTAACTCAGTTCTTGAGACGTTCAGAAAAGGGGATTCCATGCCTTTCAAATCTGCTCTTTTCTGTGCAGTTTCTCTCTTGCCTGTGCTAGGTTTTATGCCATATGTGAATGGGGTCCCAGAGTATGGGGCATAAATGCCTGATGCTCTTGTACATCTCAGTGGTATTTTTTTTTTTTTTGGTGCATGCCTGAAAACAGATGGGTGTACAATAGGTGAGTCATCAAGAGAAGTACACCACAGAAAAAGGGTTGTTGTTTTTCTTTTTTTACTCATTTACAGTACTTTGGTATGCAAGTTATAATAATTTTGATATTTAATCCTTATACTGGAAATTACCATGAAAGTGAATTTAAATGGTAAGAATATTTCATTTCACTGCCAGTTAACATTTCCTTACATAATTGATATATAAAGCATGGAGTTATCTTCTTCCTTTTCCTCACTATTCTTCTAATTAATATTTTATCGTTACTTTTAAAGACCATTTACAAAAAGCACACATTAAATACAAAGTGTGTGAACAGAAGCTGTGCTTTGAATTCTTTCATTAAATGCTTTAAGTATTTTAATATTCTTATATGTTTGAATTATTGGATTTGTTTTTAGCACTTCACAGATACATGTCTAAGATGTTTGACATTTAAGCATATTCATTTGCCTCCTTCCGTTTAGTGGGCTTGTGCCTCTTCATAATGCGTGTTCATATGGACATTATGAAGTCACAGAACTTCTACTAAAGGTAAGAGAAATTCAGTGCTTCTTTTTTTACTTGTCATTACTTCATGTAGTTTTTTGGCCACTAAGATTTCTTATGAAAATAATATAATTTTTTAAAAATATTCCTATTGCTTAAAAATTTTAAAACATTCAACTTAAGCTGTTTTTTAAGAGCTGGAATTGAAGCAATCACATTTCAAAAAATTTGCAACTGAAATTTTCAGTGAAATAGATGTTTTCTGAGTTTGATTTAGTGTGCAGTGAAGTGATTGCTAACATAAAACCTTTTTCCTCAATGCAGCATGGAGCTTGTGTCAATGCCATGGATCTCTGGCAATTTACCCCACTACATGAGGCTGCTTCCAAGAATCGTGTAGAAGTTTGCTCCTTGTTACTTAGCCATGGTGCTGATCCCACATTAGTCAACTGCCATGGCAAAAGCGCTGTGGATATGGCCCCAACTCCTGAGCTTCGGGAGAGACTAACTTGTATGTATTATATCGTAAAATCAATATTGCTAGCTGTAAATTGGAGTCTAACTTAAATTATGTCCTTCCATTCTTACAAGTGTACTATCATATACTTTTCCTTCATGAATTCCACAGGAATCTTAAATACACACACACTGTATATTTTGTGTTTGTTTAAGCCTAATTCTAATAAATATGTTAAGCATCCTTTTCTTTAAGGCTAATGAGGATGAATTGATCAACAATCATTTTCAAATATTTTGACTATATGAGAGACACTAGGAATATAACAGTGTACAAATCAGAGCAAAAAATTCTGATGATAACTAATATTATTGAGCACTCATAATTTTCCAAGTCCTGCAGAGTTGTACCATCGTTTTTTGTTTTTGTGTGTTATTTCCCAAGTATTACCACATACCCAAATTTAAATGAGGTAATGTTTATGATTTAATGAAGATAATCTTCATAATTACTGATGCATATTATTTATCTCTCTATATATGTATTTACGCAACCTTTTTGTTTTAGAATAGTTTTTGATGCACAGAATTTTTAAAGCTAGTACAGAGAGTTCTTATATAACCCATACCCAATTTTTCTGTATTACTAACATTTTGCATTAATATGGAACATTTATCACAATTAATAAGCTAATATTGATTCATTATTAACTAAAGGCCATATTCTATTTAGGTTTCTTTAGTTTTTGTCTCAAGTGCTTTTTCTGTTCTAGGATCTCATTCAGGATATTACATATAGTTTGTTATATTAATACTGAGATATATTTAATTCTGCATATGGGCATTTCAGGTTTAAATTAAACTAGGTGGTACATACCTGGTCTTTAACTTGTCTGTGACCTGTATTCTCTCCTACATGTAGGATTCTAAGAATCAGAAACCACCTAAGAAAATCTTTGCTAAATGATAACTTAAGGAAAAGGAATGGTCAAAATGATGCCAACATTATTTATACTTAAATAGGTTTTAAACTAGTTTATGTTAAATAGGAAGAATTCTCTGCAGTTTTCATCTTAAGTGTTTTTAAATTTATTGTATTCAAATATGTGGCATTTGCTGGATTATACTCCAATATAAATGAGATTATAACTGGACAGGTATCTTTATAATGAATCATTGTAGGACTTCATTTATTCACTCATTATATACTTCATTTTTCAATTTGTTTTCTGTCTTCTAGGAAAAATTTAGAGTCATGGAGAAAAAGGCTATTTGCTTTACTATCTGCATAATTCCTTGTTATCTGAGAAAAATGTGGAATAGTATTTGTGTTTGGGCCTCTATCTCTACCCAACCCCAATTTAATAGAGTGTATGTTCTCAGCAAGTTTGTCAAATTGAATTTCACTCTACTCAACACTTACTTTACTGTTTCCAATTTCCTTGTCTTAGTTTATACATTAATTCAACTTAATCCCACGTCATCATTTGGCCTTTCTTTTCCCTTTGAATCATTTTACAAACTATGAGTATTATTACAAGTTCTCAAACTTCACATTTCATTCTCATGTCAACTGCTGCTTTGTACCATACATTACAATTGCAGAATTTGTTTAAAGAAAATTTTAGAGGAAACAAAAATTTTTTTTTTATCATGCCCAGCAACCATATCATTACACACATTTTTTTCTGCTCTTTCTGGTCTATTATTTGTTCTTTTCATGAAGCCAAATGAATAAGATAATCAGGATTCCATCCTTGTTTCAGAATATATTTAAAAAGAGAAACTTTTAGATGTTTTATAAATATTAAAATGACAGGGTAGGTTTGAGCAATTTACAGTTTCACCACCTTCTTTTTAACTATATAACTTCCTTGAAGTTTTAAAAGCAAACCTTTTTGTAACATTTGCATTTAGAAGTTTAGGACAGTTGTATAATTGATAGAAGTTTCCATTCTCTAAGTTTTTAAAAATTTTCTTAACTGTTCCTTAATAAAATATTTTAAATTTCAAAATTAATGTAGGTAGAAATCTTTACTTTTTTTCTAAAGAGCAAAGATAAGGAATATTTTATGAGAAATATAGAATATATTATGAGAAAAGATATCATACTATTTGATTTCATTACTGTACCATAATTTCTTAATTTCCTTAGTACTCCAATCTTGTTTTATGTTTTTCATAAATTTGCCCATGTAATTTTCTTTCGTGCTTCCATTCCTGAATACAAAGAAGTAATTTAAAAAGTCAAACTGCTTTTGTGACTTTGATATTTATACAATATTTATCATTAGAGGAAAAGTCAGTATCATGCTTTCAGTTTAAATTTTCTCTAGACTGGTAACTCCAGCAAAACTACATTTTGCTTGATATCAGTTCTTGTACTTGTCACAATCCTGCTCCTTACTTATGGCCATTCATAATTCTCTGACTTCATTTTCCCATACTTTATTATTAAAATCAAAATGTTTGACTTGGTAATTTGTATTTACTGGCTTTTTCATCTCACTTGACCTCGATTTTTTGGTTTCTGAAGTTTCAAAGTCCTACACTTTGAGGAATTTAGCAGTGATAAAGAACCAATAAATAAGAGGTCATGTAAAAATACTTCTTTTCCTGAGCTTGCCAAAGCTTATTATATAAATACTTAGCATTCATGCAACAAATATTTGTTGAGAACATACCATATGCAAGCTTTGTGCTAGGTAATAAGACTAACATACAAATAAGACTAACATACTAACAGAACTTATCAGTTCTGTCAGGTGATAAGGCTAAATGCAAGTGCTTTGGGGCCCACATGAAGGGGTCCTTCCTAACCCAATAATGGAGAAGGTCTGGAAGGCTTATCCAGAGTGCCCAAACTGAGACCGTGAACGATGATGACTAGGAGCTAATAGGGCATGTGATATATGGACACAATGTCTGTGTACATCCCTGTCTTTTGAGAGGGAGGCAGATGATGGGACATTTGGAAGAAAGGAGAGAAGAGAAAGGAAGAGAGAATGAACATAGAGCCACTCAGATACAAGGATCTGAAATCGTTACATAATACATTAAGTCATGAATCATTTCCATGTTTTTAAAACAATGTTTAGCTTTTTGTTGATAAGTGGGTATATCAAAATGAAACCAAATTTGCAAAATAGAAAATAAGATCACATAGTTTTAATAAATAATAATTTTGAACTCTTACTTAAATGCAAGTAATTTAAATATGGCTTTTGGAGAGCTCTTACTTGCTTATGAAAATAATAAAATATTGTTCTTTGAAAAAATTTCAAATTCTGGAAGTTCTTGCTTATTTTAGTTTTCTCTGTGTGAAAACATAACTGCTATTAATCTTTCAGTGACTGTTTCTCTACATGTCTTTTTCTATGCCTTTACTTGTGTTTAGTTGTAGTGGCAGAATTCCTTCTGTTACAGAATTCCTTTTGTTTTGCAGGAGCAGTAACAAAACAAAAACGAGTGACTCAGCCTATCCTTTCTCTTAGGTCCATGAATTTTCACTTAACAATATATACTTTTATGTCACTATATATAGATCTGTGTTTTTTGTTTAAGAGCTTTAAAGTATTCCAGCACATGTGTTCACAAATTATTTTGCTGGTTTCCTTTTGATGAGCATTTAGGTTGCCTGTTTTAAAAACTTTGTTGCAATAAGTGTTCTTGTGTGTGAATCTTTATGAATTTTGAAAGTACGAAAGTCTTATTTCAGAGCATACATACTTCAAAACTTTTCATTAATCTACATCTTTATCCTTTACATTGTTGTAGTCATATTACCGCTTTAGGTGAATCAGAAATATATAAATTTAATAATTCTCTTACTTATGACCATGCTAGAGATGTTTTTAGCTTTATTTCTTTCTTTTTGAGACAGTCTGTGTAGTCTAGGTTGACCTTGAACTCACTGCATAGCCCAGGATGGCCTTAAACTTGTAAACTTGTCAGTCTCCCAAGTGCAAGGATCATAGACATGCATCACCATGCTCACTAATTTTCTTTTTTTATAAATTTTAAACTATTATATGTCAACCATTATTTCATTGACAGATGAATTTAAAGGACATTCTTTACTACAAGCAGCCAGAGAAGCAGACCTAGCCAAGGTTAAAAAAACACTTGCTTTGGAAATCATTAATTTCAAACAACCACAGTCTCATGAAACAGCACTGGTAAGATTTTATATTAATCCATTCCTTGGGCTTATAATAATAGTGCAAGCACAAAATAATGGTTTTCATTTCAGAAACTTTAAACTGCTCTTACTATTTGAAATGCCTGGAACTTGCATTTTAGTGTTGGTTGTACCAATTTTTAAATTTGGTTCAGAGCATGATCCTTTTTGTAGGTGAGAGAATATTTGCTCAACCTTGATTTGGAAGTTGTCTTTGTCTTTGCCCAAGCGAAAGTCAATAATTCCATAAAATACAAGGTGTGATCTTCCTGATAGAATCTTCTTTTTGGTGAATGTTAACTAGGTAAAATACTATATTCATTTTCTGTAGAATATTAGTGTATTTTCATAGA